AGCCGCCCTATCAGAATCTCTAAATTTCAGAATCTCTAAATTTCAGAATCTCTAAATTTCAGAATCTCTAAAAATCGGAATCTCTAAAACTCAGAATCTCTAAAAATCGGAATCTCTAAAAATCAGAATCTCTAAAAATCGGAATCTCTAAAAATCAGAATCTCTAAAAATCGGAATCTCTAAAAATAAAAATCGGTTCAGGAAGCCATACACTTTTTGGCGCAAATTGAAACTGTATGGCGCTGTTACTCAACGTGGCCTGTGAAAACTTTTTTTGGGGTAGTTTTTTACCCTGATCACGAAAAACGTAACCACGAATCACAAAAATTCAAAATGAATTGCTTATAGCAAAACCAAGTTTTGGGCTTTGAAGACAACAGTTGTAACCAAGCACCGAAAAATGGCGCTATGGAAATGCATCTACGTTTTTCGTGATTAGCGCAAAAAACTACCCCAGAAAAAGTTTTCAGAGGCGTCTTTGGGTAAAAGCGCATTACAGTTTCAATTTGCGCCAAACTCTGTATGGGCTCCTGTACGAAGAAATTTAGAGATTCCGAAATTTAGAGATTCTGAAATTTAGAGATTCTGAAATTTAGAGATTCTGAAATTTCGAGATTCTGAAATTTAGAGATTTTGAAAGTCCACGGTGTTGAGATGCAATAACAAGATATCCGATAAAACGAAAAATAGACTCTGTAATAAAAAGGTGTTTATCAAGGTGGTGGCAAACTCGCCGTTTCAAGGGCTTTCGAATGTTATAACTATCACCCCGGTCCGACGCTTCTCCGTCAAGTTAGAGGGGATGTTTTGTTTTATCGGAACCATCTATATTTGAATCTCGATAAATTCGAATCTTTGCATTTTCGAGAATTTCGAGATTCCGGAATTTCGAGATTCCGCCATTTCGAGATTCAGAAATTTCCAGATTCCGCCTATCACCCCAACAAACTATCGTGAACGGTTCTGTTTTTTGAAGAATTTAGGGTAGTGCCGTACACTCGTTGCAGAGCCTCGCTCGAGTCATCCAAAAGAATAATTACATTCTTGATTATCTGGGAAAAGCTACCATAGTTCATTCTCTATTTTCTAGATGGATCCGAAGAATGCCACCATTTCTGTTAGTCCTTCGGTGGAATCCCGGGATCTTATTCTTCCCTGTAGCTCAAGTAGCTTAAACAATTTGTATTCACTTACTACATAGTTCATTCACCGATACTATCCATGCTTCATTACAGTTGACCGCGCAATTAAACAAGAGGATCTATAAAGGACCCGCTAGATTAGATTGTCTTACTTACTAGCATAATTATAAGTCTTATACTTCATAGACTCTTATACTTTACTGAAGATTGGAATTAGCGGTCGGAGTGTAAGTGGGCAAAACTAATTTTTAATAATTTTCCTACCCCCCTGCTAATTACCACCAAAATCCAAAGTAGCAATTCGTGAAATCCCTGAATTATCTCAACAAAAGAATATATGTTTATGATTCATGCCCCTCACCTCTCCATAATTAAACATTTGTGGAAAGTGTGAATGACTTTGCAAATGGACCCAAATACCAGGCAGTCTCGGATAGATTTGATAAATTCCCTGGAATGAGTCGAGAATCAATGCAAGAAATTCGGCACTGACATAATTCTGACGACAGCACGGGGCTTTCCACGCCCGAATTTCGCAATTTTTTTTCCTTTGCGACATCCCTCGAGAAGAAGGAAGTGAAGGAAGCAGCAGCTTCTTTGTTCTTGTACGGCCTAAAAATAATGATAACACGTGAATAAGGCAACTTACCAGCTTTCCCACATTTATTAATTTCCACTTTATGCTATTTATTCGAAAAAGTTGTTTCACGTCTTCGGAACTTCCTGAATTCCAAAATATTTCAAAACGCGTGGAGCATCCATATGCGCTCCGGGATGGGCTTTGTGCAGGTACTGATATTGATGACCTGAAAAATTCGTGAAAAATAATATAAAATTAAAACTTACCACTCACTCTATAAATGGTCGTACGCGTTTCTTTCGGCTTGTAATCCGGCTTTGCACCGTTTCCAAACTATTTCAAAAATTGGGCCTTGTCGAGTTGTTTCTTTCTCCACTCATCAGCCACTAGACGCGCCTATTTTTTCACGACTCATAGAAATGATATCTTAAGACTCTTCAAAACCGATCGATATAACTCAAAGAATCAAAACCAACCGAAAGAAAAAGACATACCTTTGTATCTTTCATTCTCATTTGATGATAGCGCCGGGATTATTTGCAAATGGTTGGAAAAATTGTGCAGTCGTTGATGGATTTTTTGGGTATCCTAAAAGCTTAGGGGAATTTTTTTCGGTTAATTTGTTGTGTAAGTTTTCCTGGCCTCCAGCCATTCCAGATTTTTTAGAATAAGTTGGATGCCTCTAGGAAGACAAAGTCAGGAAACCAGAGCTTCTACCTCAAAACATAGAATCTACAGAAAACACAAAATTTGGTTGACTGTTGACCGTTGACTATACTACTCAGTGATATAAAAATTTTCAATTAACAATTTTCAAAATGCTCAAAAATATGCTGTCGCAACTTAGAGCTTTTACTTACCACGGAAACGCATTTTCTCAACAACCATTACGGTCTTGCCGTGTAGAATGTGATGAAATTTTTCTGTTTAAACTCCCGCAGGGATATTTTTCAACTTTAAAGTTTGATTTTTTGCATACGCAGCTTTTTTTAGTTCAGACGGCAGCGTATTTGTACGTAGTCCCTTGGCGTAATCCGTAATTTGCATAAATTCCCTATAATATTACGTACCAAGCATTACTTCCATATTTGGACATTGGCTGTACCTTCGATATGCCGGTATTAGAAACTGCACTGCGCATAGCTTTTCTTTTGGAAAAACTGGGCTCTGGAATTATAATGTTTTTGTTAAATGGTTAAAACGACCTTTGATCTCTAGAGCTATGGCTCCTTAGCGTGGTATTAAGACGAGTTTTTTTAATACATTTCCATGAAAATATAATACTTACCAGCCAACTCCAGGATGACGTATTTAACGGCTCCCGCTTCCGGTTCGATCCAGGCAAAAGAACTGGGAACTCCCATAGAGATCATAAAAATTGCACATTTCCAGGGTTTTTTTAGTGTTGCCAATTGTTCAAGTTGTGACTTTCGCTTAAAATTTCTGAAAAATATTTGCAACATTTAAGCGCTTCTGCTCACCGGCCAGCAGTATCGCTAGCATTCAAAATTCAATTAATCCATGGTAGCATGCTTTAAGGACATTTCTAATTTACATACGTAGCTTTACATGAAGCTATATAAATGGTAGAAGAACCCGAGTTGAGAAGCAGGTCTGAAATGTTAAGCAGAAGGTGATACATCAAAAAAAACAGCAAAATTAATGACATTTAACGGTCCCAGAATTATAGACACTAACTGTAGGGATGAAGAAAAAACCAAACGCTTTTTGATTTCAGTCCAATCGATGCGATCTTGATAAAGGACCGCGAGAAAATATCGGGATGCGAGAGGGAGGACGTTGCACTTGATTTTGGCATTTACCGGGGAAATGGGAAGATGCAGCAAATTCGCATAGGAAGAAAGTGCCAAAAACAACTAATTCTACCGATCGGGTCTCGACAGCTACGCGTGGCGCT